GTGAGAGAAGACTCCTAACCTCCCTCCACCCGCTCATTGTAGTGTTGATGTATGTGTGTTCTAAGGTGCATTTAAAACCCAGGAGGGCATGGAGCTACCTGCCAGAGAGCAGCAGGTAAGCGCATAGTCCCTCCTGCTAGCCCTCAATGTCTACGTGTATTTAAAATTGATCTAACGTCCATTTTTAGCGAGTCCATGCAAACTTGTGCCTCTTCTTGGCTGACAGGGGTGATGCTCTGTGTGGTCGTATGCTGCTGTAGCCCATCTGCTTTAAAGTTTGTGCATTCATCATGTGTAATCAGTGGCTATTTGAATTACTGTTGCCTGCCTATCAATAGAGGAAATAAAAGTTAAAGATTCTAATTTTGACTCGACTTCTAATTAAAGTGAAGAAGTATTTAACTATTAGGAAAAAAAAATTAAACTTCACATTAATGGTTTCAGCTGTTTCCTTAGGTTTGTGTAACTTCAAAGTTTATTCTCCAGTTTGATGACAACTGCTGAAATGATCGAAAGCTTCAACACAATTATGACTGCAAGCTGAGCTTGTTTAAGCTACAACAGCAGCAACGTTTAAAGACAAACAAGAATTTTGAGACTGTCACTGAGCAGACATGGAGGCCTTTATTGTTTAACTATATTCATAGTACAGTGCCACATCTCTCATCCACTGTAGCCCCCGTCACACACATTAGTCAACAACTTTTAACCACCATCGTGCACACACATACACACACCACACACACACACAGACACTCACACTGTTTTCAATGTAAACATTGCAGGCTTAAAGAGTGATACAAAAAGCAGGTAGTCAGACAGTTTCTGTCAACAGCGTCTGCTCTTCCAGACGTACTCTAAGAGTTCAGAGGATGATGACACAAAAAATAAAAAATTTCTGCTTGTTCTTCTAGGGAACAAAAAAAAAGTCAAATTTTCTCCCATCACTGTGGTCTCATACTCACACACTCACAGGATTCTCATTCAAGCAAATGGTTTTATCAAAGTGTACTTAAAGTGTTTTCTTTTGAATGCTTGCAGTAGGCAGAAGGGGGAATAGTGAATTTCTGAAGTGAAACATCTAGCAATGATTATGTTCTTTATTCATAATCCTTCCTACAGGAAAAAGGCCTTGTGTGTCAGTTCCCTTGTGTGGTCACAGGATGAACATCTTCTCAATCCCATCTGGAGCTGCATTACCTTTTAGCGCGTACAAAGTACAAGGCGTTGGTTTTAGGGTAGTATTTCACATTCTGTTTTTTGTCCATGAGGCCCCCAAAGATGATGAGCTCTCCCCTGCCCTGTACCACAGTGTGAAGGCTGGTCTCCGGTGGTCCTGTGACTGCAGGTGGAGTCCCGTTCCCATAAACTCTCCAAGACACTACCCCGGCAGACTTGGCTCGGGACACATCGAGCACGTACATCTGCATGGGCTTGCAGTTGAGAGACTGGTACAGAGGTTTGCCTACGTTTAGGCTCTGCGGCGGATGATGACCGAGACGCCTCGCAATAGGCGGGATAGCATGTCCATCGGCTCCAGCCACCTGAGGAGGACTGGAGGAGGATGACGGAGGGGTTCCTGGAGGACCTGCTCCACCTCCAGGAGAAGGCCCCTGTGTCTGAAGGGAAGATGATGATGAAGAAGAAGGTACAGATGAGGAAGATTTGTTTTTCACTGCCTCCAGCCCTCGTCGTAAGGCAGCAGGGGACACTGCACCTGGTGGGGTGCATGGGGAGCCTGAGGGAGGCGTATGCAGGCCGTTGGTGCTGGGGACCTCAGGATGGTGAGCAGCGGAGGGGGGAGACTCCCATCCATAGTCAGTGGAGGAAGGCAGGTGAGGACGAGAGGGAGGAGATGCAGCCTGGGCTGGGCTGGTCCGGGGGGAAGGGGAGGATCCATTTATTAAGGGAGGAAGAGGAGGGCTTTCTGGGCCTTGTGAAGGAGATGGCTGCTGAGAGGAGGACGGGCTCCCGTCTCTGGCACCACCTCTCACTGAAGGCCGAGGTCTCAGAGTGCCCCATCGGCCATTTACACACGGAGCCTCTTCAACAGCTCCCAGAACAACACCGGCAGCACCGCTCCGAACGGGAGACTGAGAGCGCAGGGAAGGAGGTTCAGGGCCCAGAGGGGCAGGCGTGGCACTTATGGGGGAGGGCCGAGAGTTAAGACTTGGGCTTAGCGGTGCCCGCCCAGATGGAGCCTGTGAGAAGACCACCACACACTGGCCCACCTTGCGTGTAAAAAAAGAACAAGTTGGGAAGAAGAAGCATTAGTGAACACGGTTTACAAGTATTCACAAAACTCAGGAGTGTACTATAAAGAGACATACTGGGTTAAGGAGGTATTTTGAAGGTAAAGTCAAAGAGTGACTTTATGTTTTTTGTTTTTAACCTGGTCACAACAGTACCTTAAGACGAAGGCAGAACTGACCAGGGAAAGTTTGTTTTGGAGTTTTCAACAAAAAAAAAAAAAAATCAGTTTCAAATGTCTCAACCATAACCAATTACTTTCAAGGGAACATGTTCGAAGTGCCATATAGATTATCTTAAACATACACCAATCAGAGGCATAACATTATGACCACCTGCCTAATACTGTGTTGGTCCCACTTTTGCCCTGACCCACTCACAGGCATGCACTCCACTACACCCGTCCTTTAAGTCTTGTAAGCTGTAAGGTGGGCCACCATCTGTAGGACATATTTGTCCAACACATTGAACAGATGCTCGATCAGATTGAGATCTGGGGGATTTGGGGAGCAAGTTAACACCTCAAACTCGCCTTTTAGCTCCTCAAACCATTCCTGACCCATTTTTTCTTTGTGGCAGGGGTGGACAGGGGTCAGCATGAACACATTGACTGGTCTGCAGCTATACAGCCCCATGCGCAAAAACTGCAACCCTCTGTGTATCCTAACAACTTTGTCAGAACCTGCATCAGTGACCATATTATGCAGTGTATGTTATACATGCAACCTACAGACCGAAACACTGAATTCATTCAGTTGGTAATGTAGAAAGACCAGGAGCAGGAACAAGTCCACGGAGGGGTTTTTATTTATAGATATATATGCCTAGCCAAGGAAGAAACCTAGCTATGTCGAATGTGCTTTGTAACACACACCTTTAATTGATGGCTAAGTCACACACACTCACTCACCCTACATGCTGGGTGACACCACAGCTCTGGGGCTCCATGGTCCTCGTTTTCCACCTGCAGCTGCTGCCACCTCCATGGTAGTGCATCCATGTGGAGTAGCCAAGCATCTTTAAGAAGCTATGATTAGGGAAAAAAACAAATCAGTTCTCATGTTTCAAGGATCTGTTTTAAAACTGGAAAGAAAGAATAAAAACTTACTGCATTCGGACCACCACATCCTCCCAAGATGAGCAGCGTCTGATCGTCTATCACAATCTAATGAATAAACATTTGAAGAGCATCATTTATTTCACATATAAAACATAGATGGACTTTTCTGGCACCTTTAGTAAATGCACAAAGAGACAAGTCAAAGTCAAAACTTCCACAGGGCTGTTAAAATGATTAAGCATCCCTGTTTAAATACTGAAGCCTTACTTGTGACTGGCCGCCTCGTGGGTGTGGTGATGGTCCAGATATGGGCGGTTTGGACCAGGACCACTGCTCCAGGTCAAGAACCCACACTTCATTACTCCTGTCATAACCAAAAGAGGACCAGTGGAAATTTTCATTCAGTAATACATCCCTGTTCATAACATCTAAATCTAAAAGGATTAGTAATCTGTATTGAAATATAATTCCTGAGAGTCGAGTGTGGGAAGATTTACTGTACTTGGGAACAGTGATTACTGCCGTCTAAGATCACAGTCTGTACAACACATTGTTTCAGATCTAATTTAATCTGTTTCACATGTGTTAACCAACCAAGCGAAGCCTTTGCAATGGCAACCTATTAACACCACTGTAGTTTAAATAAGCAAAAATTTTGACTAGTCTTTCTAATTTCATGCAGTCAATTACAAATAAAACCTTCTTACATCTGACGTGCTCCTAAAGATCCCCCGAACACTATCATGTTGTTTCCTATTACAGATGAAGAATGGCCTGCCATAGGTGGAGGTCCATGTGTCGTTACTATACAGTTCCACCTGAGACAGAGGAAAAAACAAAGTATATGGAAAAAGAAGACAATAATAATGAAATTTTTAAACTAGTTCATATTTGGCCACCATGTCTCAGTCACTCCTTCTCACCAGTTCTTTGAAGGAGAGTAGGTGTGGATTTCATCAAAAAAACGTTCTGGTTGGTGTAGTGGATAAGGGCTGGGGCGAGTCCATCCCCCAAACAGCACTAACAGATCTTTGTGCATCACTAGAGTCGCTCCAGCTTTAGGAGATGGATAAGAGCCTGTTTAAAGGAAATAAATACAATAATTATTGGAAAATAAGTATGCCAGATTTTTAAATAAGTCATCAATTACACATACATATCAGAAACTGTTTCCTCTTTGCTTTAACTCATACATTGTATAATTAAATCTGCTATTAAGCATGTGACTATTGTTCTCTCTAGCATGTCCTGCTGAATATGGGTGACTGGTCTTCAAAGATTTTTGACAGAAAATTGGGAAAGAGTGGAGTTTGACCCAAACCGTGAGATGAGATGTTATACCTCAAGGATGTAGCATTAATTATACAATAATTACATTTAGGAAAATAAAACATAAATATAAACAGGCAGATCTGTAACCTAAACTCATCCAAACCTCTGTGTGGTCCACCAAACAATTTACCCGACGTTTCAACATGAAAAATCAGTTTTAAGATTAAAAACATGTTAACATAATGAGAATTATGGGAGCAGTAATTATAAGAAAATTGGCACCATGGATGGGATTAACAGTTTCGTCAAACTTTGTGCTGTAGTGGGGACACTTTAAATGACCATTAAAAACATGTTGAACTGTTTACTACACTCTATAAACCAAGGCAGAACCATTATGTTGCCATAGCAATACATCAAATAGGTAGGTTGCACTTTAGAGACTGGTTGGAGAACTATCCCCGTCCCCCACCCACCCAAATCAACAGTAACCAGACAACTATGTTGGATATCTAGGTAAACCAAACTGTAACTACCCAAATGTATCTAAAAATCATAGCTTGTGTTCCCCAGGTTGAAAGTCTGACCCAATCACATTTTCACCCAGATGTGGCTGACTTTTTCTCTTTATACTATCTCACTCCACTTCCTACAAGCCTTTTCTCAGAGAGCCAACTCAACCTTTCAAGGAAACTGTCCCCACACAGCTCCCCTTACATAAGACGCTACTTGTTTCCAGAACAGTTGTAAAAGGGGTTACAACCTCTGATTTGTGTTGTTCTTACCAGCCTGTGAAATTGTTACCTGAGGCCAAAGGGCGGATCCACTCCTTGCTGTTGAGGTCAAGTCTCCATAGGTCATTGAAGGCAGCATTGCAGCTACTCTGAGTGCAACCCCCAAACACATACATGGACTGATTTGAGTCATAATAACATGCACCTGCAACCCACAAGAAGAGAGAATAAATACCCAGTGTGTATAGTTAAAGTCTCTGCACACAATGCTTTAAGGATCATCCTGTTCTTTATGAGATGGCACCAACAGCTTGTCTGACACTACATTTAAACCACTGTGATTAAAAGGGTTTATGGTTTATGTATTACTCCAAGTGGCCTATTATGACAGTGACATAGCACAAATCAGCATTTTAAGATTTCAAAACAAAAATGATGAAAGAACATTTCACTTCAAATGCAGCTGGTGAAGAAAAATGAAAAAAATTAAGTTGCTAATAATCTATTTTAAGACCAGCAGTAGTCTATATGTGGATTAAATGTCTGATGCTGCTCTTTTCATGAGTCATCTACCACAGACTAAAAGCCCTTTTTAATTGCTGTACATTAAACTTATAATCTGATCCATACCTTAAATCAGCGGTCCCCAACCCCCGGGCCTTGTGTTATGAATAAATTTTCTTTTTTTTGGTACCGGTACTAGTTTTATTTTGTTGTATTTATCCGCGACACCTTAAAGGCCAGTCCATGAAAATATTGTCGGGCATAAACCGGCCCGTGGCGCAAAAAAGGTTGGAGACCGCTGCCTTAAATTACATCCAAACATTTAGAGGCTTCAGATCCAAAAAAGATGAAGTGGCATTTTATTTTGACTTGTAGGAAATAGACACACCAACCTGTAAGTGGGACAAAATGCTTTTGACATGAAGCATGGTAAAAGGGTCATATACTAACTGTGTGAAAAGCGCTGAGTGATGGGAGTTCCTGGATATGGGTATGTGCGACTTTCCCACTGGATATTACCCTCCTGGACAGCTCTCAAAAATCCATGGTAACACTGATAGGCAACACCTAGTTAGCAGAGAGAGTGTTTAAGAAACAGAAGGCAGAAAAAGTGGAGAAAGCAGATTCTAAGCAAAGATAAACAAGCATCCACCTTATGATTAAATATTATGCAAACATGAGCGGCGTACCTTTAATGAGACGGTACCACTGCTTACAAACGAGTGCAGCGGTCTTGTGCTCCTGGTAAGGTGAGAGGAAGGACAAAATATACTCTAGAACTTCCTCCGGCAGCTCCACCATTGTCCTCCCTTCTCCTTTGGCACCACTGTCCATGTTCCCTTCTTGACAGGAGGACCCCATCTTTGCTTCCACTTCCTCCGTTATCCCAGCAGGCTCTGAACCTTCATCCTCTGTATCCATGGCAACATGTCCTCCTCCATCTTCATTGTCAGGGGAACGGGACATTATTGTCTGTTGAGACATTGGGAGACAGGCTATTGATGCTAAGGGGACTATTTTGAATCAACTAGATTTAATTGTGCTCTATACATTCTTACTGGAATCCCCATTTTACAGATGCCTGTATGATTGATTCACTCAGCCTAAACACAGAGAGGGTGAAGGCTTTAAATTGGAAGAGATCTGCTCCTAGCCAAGAAACCCAATGACACTGCAAAGCTGCAATCAGCATAAAATTAGCGCTCGACGACCTTAAGTGTGATATCCACTGTTTAGAACAGGTGGAGTCCTTTCTTTGAGTATCTGGTCTGTCCACACCGGACGTTTCGGTTATATCATTAGCTACATCTAATTAGCTGCCGTTAGCCATCACATTATAATGCAATACTGGGTAGCTAGTGCTAATTATCGCCTAAAGCTAAGTCACGCTATTAGGGGAAGTAACGTCATATTTCATAAGGCTAAATGAGCTTTGATTTTTGCTACAAACTGCAATTTATCCAACTAACCAACCGGCTAATGGTACCGTATTGTGACCAAGAAAAAATATTTTGTGCTAGCTTTGGCTAACGCTAGTCAACTTGTCATGAGCATCCACGCTAACGTTAGCTAACAGAAAAAGAACCTTTTGGCTAGCGGTGTCAAAGAAAAGGTGCATTTTCTCGACAACACCTCTGCTTTAAACAGCATAAAATCGCTCGCTTCTTAGCTGTCTTGTCGACACGACATCCTCTCAGGTCAGCAGCCTTATCTAGTGTTACCACCCTCCTAACTGACGAGCTAGTCGAAACCTTCAGTCTTCTGCTAATAATCTTTGCTAACGCTAGCTCAACCACAGGCTATGTGTAATGTCAGTTTCCCTCTTTATTATAAGCTGTCAGCTTCACTCGGTGACTACGGCAGATTTGTCTGGTACCGTTGTTTAAGACGTTTTCTTTTCAGGGCTCTGAGTGTGAAGCTTTCCTCTCCTCCTCCTCCCCGTTATCAGCTCCAAAGATTCCTCTGCAGCCTCCAAACAGTCGCCATCTTCCGCTGTGAACAGCGACCTCCTCCGCAGCTCAGCGACGCTCCGGTAGCCGCTAACCGTCTGTGGTACCAGGGTGGGTCCTCAGCCCCAAACAGCCGCCCAGGGCAACACGCTGTGTGTGACCGTTGTATGGAAGCCTTTTTCAGCCATTCAATTATTAATTACTTTTTTTTTTGTTTTAAATTGAACGCTAAGTTGAAATTTTGAGTAATTAAGTAAGAAAATGGAGATCCATAACTACAAAAGTCAAAAATTTAAAATGCTAACTCAAAATGTAGTCTTTAGTCTAAAAGAATGTTCAGTTGCAGAAAACCATTTCCATACCACTGTTAAGGTTTTTATAGTTGTATATTTATGTATTTTGTATATATATATGTATAGTTTATTGAAGCAAAAAACAAAACAAAAACAGAAAACAAGAACAGAAGTCTTACCAAATAAGCCTGACATTCATAACAGCAGCATTAATAAATACACAACATAATGTAAGAAGATACCCAAAATAAAGTTTGAATTAAAACATATCTAGGGGAGATTTTCCTCAACAGAAAAATAAATATATAAATATATGAAAAGTGCACTTTATTGCCAAATTTTAGTTGTTTTCGCAGCTTTCCAGTTGCTGGAGGCTATAATAGTGTTGAGTTAAGATTTGAATTCTGCTGTAAAAAATTAAATAAAAGTTTCTTTTTGCTGAATTTACATTAATGAAATGTTGCAGCTTGAATACATACCATGTTTTCCTGAACTTGAGCTTTAATTTTATTTATTTAATTGTTTTTTGCTTTTTTTTCCTGCTGGTACTGGCTGGTCTGAAGGTTCAACAGACCAATTTTTCAGTCTAGCTTTCCCCTGTGCATCTTCACACAGGATGACATTTTTCCATGGGCTCGGGAAAGAACAACTCGTCCCACACATCTGTAAAAAAGAAACCTCTCCCCCAGGTTTTATACTGTTCACTCCAATGCAAGAGTTTGGCAGTCTTTGCAATCTGGGAAGCTTACTGGTTTCCAGCACCTATTGTATCTTGTATTTATTTAAAACAGTGAAAGGATAAAATGTGTCCTGTTGTTGTGAGTAGAAAAATTTATATCACCAAAATACAAACATTTCCTTATTAGTGATCATCACATGTAACCTGAATACTTTTATCCTTCACAATTCACCTTCTGTATCTAAGGTACAATTAAAGTCACTAAATGACATTAAAACATCTGTCATAGGAAACAGTTGATACCATTCTCTGTCAGTAGAAGGTGAAGGCATAACTATGCAGCAGTACTTATGCTGTCTTAGGTCAGCATTAGTACTGCTGTCAAGGCAAAGTACTGAATCATCCAATGAATAAAGAAATTGGCTTGTTTTTGTCTCAGGGTGATTTGGGGCATATTTTAAAGATATTAGGTGTGGAAATGTCTGCCTTTTCTTGAATGTAATGGAAATAAATGTTTTATCATGTTATGTTTTCTTCAGAAGATTGAAACAGGAGATGGGTGTAGTTTAATAAAAGAGAAAAGAGTTCATATGTTCAAACAAAGAAGCAAACAAAACTTTACCAAAAGCAGTCTGCACTTGGCTGATGAGACTTTGATTGATGTATTTATTGAGACTTTGGATGTCTATAAGGTTGCGAGTCACTGCTATCATAAAGTTATTTTTATTGTTATGTATGTACTTTTCTTCCCAAAATTTTCCCAGAGTACAATATTAATTAATAAAGACTGAAACTAAGACTAGAACTAAAAGAAGCTAAACTAAAACTAAACATTTTCAAAAAGATAAAAAAGTAAAACAAGCAAACTCACGCTGGAAACTAACTGAAATGAAACAGAATTAAAAGCAAAAAAGTCCAAACGATATAAAAATAAAACTAATTATGAATAACAAAATTATAATAACAGTGGTACGGACGCCTTCATTTGTTAAACCACTCCATTTGGAGGCAGCCTGTGGTTGACATTACCTGTAGCTGACGTTATGACGTCATTTCCCTTCTTCGATTTGACGGTTAAACTTGAGAGGTGTAGTGAAGCTAAGTATTAAAGCATTGCAGGGACAGCGGTTTATAAAAACATAACGTCCAAGGGTGTTTGTTTTCCGTGTGAGCAGCAGCGGTGACCGGGGTTCATTTACTGAGGATTTTAAACAGCAGACAGCTGGTGGGGTTTGCTCCGAGTGTAGCTTTAAGCTAGCAGGCTAACACGAGGCCGGGGTAAAGGTTTGGGAATTTGTTTATCCAGCTTTTATCTGATCATAAAAAGGGAAACAGTGGCGGAGCTCCCTGTGGTTTGTACTTGAGCGCTTGCCGTCGTCTCATGCCCACTGTGGGGTACATTTAGCCGGTGAAGCGAAGAGAGCCAACCAGCCACCCAGCAGTCCCGTTTAAACATGGAGGATGAAGAGGTTGCAGAAAGCTGGGAAGAGGCGGCGGACAGCGGGGTGAGAGACGCTAACATACTGTGCTAAACAAGGATGTAACAACACCCCGGCTTTAGTCTGACAGCCATCAAGGCACAGTGCAAGAGCTGTCGATAGAGTAGAGGCTTCCTGCGCCCAAAAACATTAGCGGTTTTTTTTTTTTAAATTTTCAGCCGAACTTCCTGGTTGAGTCTTGCAGGCCGTGTTGACACGGGACTGAGCACACCATCACACCAATTAATTTATCCAACTGTGGAAATAATCTGAGTAACGTCATTGTAGAAACAATATCGTAACATGTTCAGCTTTTTCCTGCAGCCCCCCCAAATGTGCCCTGAAATGAACCGTAACAGCACCTTAGCAGTCTAGTGTGTGCCACTGATTGTAGAAAATAGTTTTATAAACAGCCGCTGGTTTGTACACATACACATTTTTCTGTGTGTTTCCCCAAAAAATGAACCCTGCTAGATTTGATTGTGCTAAAGTGTAATGTGTCACTTGTGATCTAATTTGAGGTTCTCTGCAATAGCACCTAAGTGTCCTCGAAACATTGAGTTTGTGACTGTAGGGGGGTTAAATTAGTTTAGTAGCTTTTTTAAAAGTTTCTTGTTTTTATCAGCTAAACTACATATGGATCTCAGCTTTATTGGTAAGCCTTTTTATGTCTTGTTGAGAAGAGTTTTCTGCCCTACTTTTGCATATTTGTTACAATCACGTAGAGTGTAATTGAGATGAAATTAATTTTTAATATTAGACATATTCAGAGCTGGAGTTGTTTGTGTATTTTGGATCGTTGTCTTGCTGCATAATCCAAGTGAGTTTGAGCTTTGGGGCATGAACTGATGGCGGGACATTCTCCTTCAGTCTTCCATGTTTGACTGTTGGTGTTATGTTGATTTTAGGAAGCGCTGTTAGTTTTATGGCAGATGTAACGGGACTCAAACCTTCCAGAAACTGAACTTTGGTCTCTACAGTCCACAGAATATTTTCCCAAAAGTCTTGGGTATCGTCAAGATATTTTTAGGCAAATGTGAGATGAGCCTCTTTGCATTCTTTTTGGTCAGCAGTCATTTTGGGGGCAATTAGGTCACAATCAAAACTGCAAGACAACATATATATGCATATATTATCTTTAGGTTCTCCTCTACTGTTAAATACACATCCAAATTTCAGTTATCTCCTGTGCACCAACATGTTTTGGATACTTTCACATTTGTGTACTTTGTCACCTGGTTATGTGTGTATTTAGTTAGTTTATAATAATTATCATACTGCCAACAAAAAGCTAAAACACAGTGCACATTTACTATAGCAACAAAGACCTTCCCAGCATAAGGTATTTGATCAATTGCATGTGAGGCTGTCTTTGGTAATGAAGGTTTAATAAAGTCTGAAACACACAGAAAAGTTTTACCTGCTGTGCTGCTGCGTTTGGTTGTCACTTAAGAGTGATTGTAGTAGGGTAATTGAGCCAGGATTGGAATGATATCCGGTCCAAATACCTGATAGGTGTATCTCTACAATGTGAACATGTTTGGTATACAGGATGATGTGAGGACAAAAGTAGAAATTGAGTTAATTATTGTATATATGTATTATATTTCCTCCTTCAGGAAATTGAGAGAAGACTTGAGGCAAAGCTGAAAATAAATCAGGAAGCAAAGTAAGTAACCAGAAGACAAAGCTACTGCTTTCTGCTTCTTTTTTTCCCCAACAATATCTTTGTGAATATTTTTTTAAAACTTTAATAGGAAGACTAAAACTAAGGAAATGAAATTAACTTAACTTAAAACATGCCCAGACCTCTTCAAACACTAATGATTTTCTCATCTTTGCAGAAAGTCCAATTTGAAATCAGCCAGTTCACCTATACGAACTGCTGTCGTAGTCCAAGATGACTCTCTCCCAGCAGCACCACCACCTCAAATCCGAATTTTAAAGCGCCCTACAAATAACGGCAACACAGGAAACCCCGCTGCCTCGTCTCGTCCCGCTCAGCAGATGAAGTCTCTGGCCCAGAGAGAGGCAGAGTATGCAGAAGCCCGAAGGAGGATTTTGGGTAGTGCTTCTTCAGAAGAGACGCCTCAGGACAATCAGTGCCAGGACAGGTGAGTTGTAATGTCTGCAAAATCAACTGTGACAACAAAATGTTTTGAAGAAGACACCTAAAAGAGAAAAACACTGTTTTGTGATGTATTCTAATTTTTCTCTTACCATTATTAGGCCAGCTTGTATGAGTGTGCAGCAACCACTGGAACCAGTTCGTTCAAACAATCACGTGATCCGTCAACCCAACGGCCCGGATGGCACCTCAGGCTTCCGACTGTGCAGATAGGCAGGAGCTGCCTGATTCAAGACACGGATGTCTTCCTGAGAGGGCACAGAGGGTGCAGTGAGGAGTGTTGTGTGTGGTATGAAGAGCAGAGCGGTGGGACGAAATAAAATTTGACAGACGATAGACATTTGAAGATGTAGCATGGATTTAGATGAACTTCTCCACCCTCTCTCTTCTCTGCTTACTGGTGTGGTCTTTGCCTTTTGCCTTGTCTTTTCCCTCTGGAAGCTTACAAGGGGCTGGCAGAGATCAGCCAAAGATCCGAAATCCTTTGTGTTCCACACTGTGAGCAGGCTTTCGCCTCACATTCCTACACACTGTGTTACTTTGACGTACCATGAGGTGCCCTATGATTTTAGGTCTGATTGGCCGGCCGAGTGCCAGGACATCAGGTGTCTGTCTCTTCAGGGAGAATACGGAGAGCTTGCAGATTTGTGGGACCTCCCCAGAAAAGGCAAGCACACGAGGTGGCCTTTCCACTGATGAAGCGTGGGTCATGGCTGGGTATCCACCGGGGTACTGGCCTTAATTTGTCGGGTTCAGTTGGAATGAAATGCTTGACGGTGCCATAAATTTATTGCGTGTTCAGCAGCTTGAGTGAGCAGCAATAAAAAAAAAATTGTACTGATGGAGCCTTTTGGTGCCTAGCAGTGTGCTTTTAATACTGTAGTCGATGGCAGTGGCTCAGGCCACAAGTGTCCACAATCCTCTGTAAGGCACGAGTGGCCCTTAAAGAAATGCCCGGTGGGCACACAGCCTGTGGCCAAAAAGAATAGAGCTGAAGGACAGTATCACTAAATCTAAGCTTATCTAAGCAATAATGATGAAATTACTCCCTTTTTTTCTTTCTCTTTTAAAATGTTGCCCTTTTTCTGTGCTGTTTCGTTTTGTTCACATATGGTTTTAAACACTTCATATTGTTCATGTGTTTCATTTCTGACACATAGTACGTATAAGTCAGGTGATCTGTAGTGTGTAAGAGCCTAGAAGATGTAGTCTGCATAGTCGTGTCATATTCAGTTATATCTAATTGGCAGAAGACATGAACTGAAAGTTTAAAGTGTGTTTAAAAAAAAAAAAAAAAAAAAAAGTTCCTGTGTTGTTCCTTTGCTGTTTCGGAGCAGCTCAGCTCTGGAGTTGATGATGGATGATGGATGATGGATGATGATTTTGGTGGGTTTTCGTACCGGCTGCAGTTTGCTGATTTATTACCTACAGTTAAGAGTTGTATTAATTATTCTGAAATAATTATTTCAAGCTCAGCCTAGATGGGGATATCATCTAAAGTTTTGTGTTGGCAAATATTCTTCCAGGGCCAGGAAACCTTAAAGTTCTTTACCTAATATCATCTTACAGTGTGGTCTGCTTGTTTGGGACCACTTTAAAATAAGAGTTTGCCTGCAATAACATGATAGTATAGGCAAATCCTGATGAATAACCAGTGCTGACACTTGTAGTAAACAGTACATGAGCCTGCGGCAGGTTTTCAACCTTTCTACGCTGTTATGCCTTAAAAGATAAACAATCCTTGGTCTCCATCACACGCTCTCCAGCAGGTAGTGCTCATACATATTTGGAGCTTTCTGTGAAAGGTTATTTATGTCACAAGTAAACTGCAGCACAGCACAGGAGCACATTTATCAACATGGCTGGAAGTGTTGCATTTGTGCCACTTATTCCTGCTTCAAAAAGTAGAAGTTTTTGTTTTAGGAGATTATCTACAATGAAAAGGAGGACGTTTGGACCTACAACATCTAGATTATGTGCTACTAACACAGCGTTCCCTGGGATCCTATTCAATTATTGTAACAAAATCAGTTTCTAATCAGTTTAAATTGAAAAGGAGAAATAGTCATCCTGTACCTGTGTGACCTACCCATGATGCTTTGCTGAAGTCATTCATAGCCACCTGTCTAGTGTGAAGCTCATTTTATGTCATCATTGTTTTGAAGCTTTAGGGGGAAAAAGCTCATTAAATTTGAATACCCTTTAATAAACACACTCAGCGGTACAACTTGCTTCATGTGTTGTTATTTTAGATAACGCAGTAGTCTTGCATATGCTGCTCAGAATAATGAAGGGGGCACTGGATCAGCACAGTCTAAGATGGACTTCAGGGATATCAGTCTGCGTGTGAGGAGGCAGCAACAATCCATGATCAGATCCATAATCTGTTTATAACTATCCACTGCATCCTGTGAACTTTCGGGAAAACATGCAACAAACATGTGACTTTTTCTGCTCTAGCCTTTCACCCTCAATGGAAAAACAACCCACATAAAAATAATTTGCTACTATGACTGTCCCCATGGTGACAAACTAATCTAATATTAGAGGGAATGCAGGAAAATTTGCTTAACACTTCAAAGATTGGGTCACCAGTTTGTCTTCAAACAATCACTGAAAAAAGTTTAGTTTGCTGTAATATGTCCCATTTGTACTGGGCATGAAGAGATGAAAATGATTTTTAGGACAAACCTCACATAATGCATATTTTGTGTTATTTAGTACTGTGTAGTAATGTATTGTATCAGGAAGGAAATACATGAATTCACTGGCTTCTAATACATTTCGCACAGTAAGAAGGATTGAAATACGATATGTATCATTTTTTATAAGAGGAGAATAATTTCAGTGTTCTTATGGAAAACTTCCTGTTCTTTCTCTATTTATATACATTATACTGTTCTTTCTAGGCTATTTTAAGTTCTTATTGACAGACTGTGACGTACTCTTTAGGCGCTTATACATCCTGGCCGGAGGTGGCGCTGTTAGGGTCCGGTTAGCCTGGTTCAGCAGGACAGAGCCGAGCAGGCGAAGGGTCCATTGAAAGTCGGAAGTTGGTTTTTGGGTTAGTGAAACTTGACAAGATGGCAGAAGACAACAGCTACGAGTCAATGCTCTGTGTAAAGCCAGAGGTCCATGTTTACCGGATCCCGCCGCGGGCCTCTAACCGCGGATATCGGTACGTGCTAATGTTTTTAACTGACGAGAGCAGCCAGATTTTTGATAGCGGGCTAATTTTGCAGAAATGCGCCCATTATCGGACAGCAAGTTTGTCAGGATAGTTTGTTAGGTTTTTGTCATTCGATTACTGCTTTTACGGGTAGCCAATATATACTTTTAATATAAAAATTATAATTTTAACTGTATCAGCTCACGGAAATGGGACTTCAACATCCTGTCGTCTTACCTGCGACTTGCACCTGTTGGCGTTTAAAAGCTTACTTCACACGTCGATGACACGCAGATGTAACGCTGTAGCTTTGGTCTGATTGGCCGGCCAAAATGTTGATTTTAAGTATCTGTCCAATGATAGATGCAGATGCTCAACTTTAACGCTAGTAGAAAATTATTCTTGTTTTTAGTGTCTTAGTTTGAAATGTGTCGTTTGTTTTAGTGGAGTCACGTCTTTGCTCCTAAACAATTTGTTGAAAACGTCTTCTTACAAAAGGGAAAATCACACATTAAGTTATTTTCTCAGTTAATTAGTTGTATAAGTACACAGTTTTAATGCCGTAGACACAACAGTTAACAACTACTTTTTAATGGCTTTAACATTTGTAAGAGTAGATAAAGCTCATGTCTCAATTTAGTCTGACTTGAAGCTTTCATTTCCCTTCCTCCTCCATCAAAAGTAGCAGCTGGCAGTGACTGGGTCAGCTGTTTTCATAGAGGATTACACCACTTTCACAAGTAGATATGTGTTTCCTGTTTTTCTAGTGCTGCAGACTGGAAGCTGGATGAACCTGCGTGGAGTGGAAGGTTGAAAATAACTGCCAAAGGAAAGATGGCCTACATTAAGTTAGAGGATAAAAATACAGGTAGGCAGAAAAAGGACTGCTTTAATTAGTGAAGTAAGAAAGAAGACTAAGAAGAAGGAAAAAAAATTGGTAGTAAACCCCAAACTAGACTGCAGTAACTAGTTAACAGTTAGGTTTGTGTCTTCATAGTTGTGTCTTACAATATGTTGACGGTTTAAATATATGGTTCAAAACCAGTATTTAAAGTGGGATTTGGCAAAGGGGATCTGGTAAAGTGTAACAGCATGATTCACCTAGAAAGGAGTCTCATAGTTACTATAGTTTTCTATGCTGAGGTCCTGTAGGTTTGTTTTCATTGCGAACAGGCTGTGATTAGCTGACCTGTCCTGCTTTGGCTCTGACGTCTTCTGCTCTTAGTGGATTTAGCCAACTGCATTTGACGATATACACTTGTGGTCACAAGTTCACGTACATCATGAGTGTTAATGTCATGGTAGTCTGGGGCATTTAATGATTTCTTTGAACTGTTCGTGTTCCAGGGTGGAATGATTACACAGTATACATCCTTAATTACTTTAAAAAACAACCTTAGGATGTGCAAGCTTGAATATAATTAGAATTCTTTTAAATATGTACATGCACCCCTACTAATAGGCTTGACCTCGGGGCTTTGGGAAAATCATTCCAGAAGCTTAATGTTAGCCTGCTTTACCAATTCCAAAACCAGTTTTGATGTGTGTTTGGGAACATTGTCCTTTTGGAACACCCAACTATGTTCAAGTTTCGACCCTCCGGAAAGAAGGGTGGAAACTTGATCTGATCTGAAGTGATCCGAGATAAAGTTGAAGAATTTGGAGGTAGTCCTCTGTCTTCATTGTTCCATCTACTTTGTGAAATGTACTGGTATCACTGGCGGCAGAACAGCTCCAGAGAATGATGCTACCACCACAGTGTTTGACAGCTGATATAATGTTCTCAGTTTAAAAGTCTCAGCTTTACTCCTCTAAACATAACTCTTGTCATTGTGGCCAAACAGCTCAGTCTTTATCTCATCTGACCCCTAACCTTTTCTCCAGAAGGCATTTTACTTGTCCGTGTGAGGAGCTGCAAATTTCAGTCGAGTATGAAAGTGCTGATTTTGGAGCAGGGGCTTCTTTCTTGGTCGGCACCCTCTCTGTGGTGATGTAAAACTGGTTTCACTATGGACAGCAATGCAGGTGTTCCAGCAGATGTCAGTTCATGGCACGCTTGAACATTGGGGCTTTCTGTCTTTTTCCTGAACATCCTCACCAATTGCCTCTCATCTGAGGGTGAAAGTTTGGATCTTCTTCCAGTCCTTGGCAAAGTGGTGACACATCCAAAAAACTATTCAATTGCACTAGCATACAGTTGTTTAGTAGAGACCTTCCCAATGTGTGTAAATGTAGAATCCTCACATCTTTGCTGAGTTCTTTGGACTTTCCCATTATTCTGAGTATTGGTCAATACAATGAGTCTATAAAGGTCTATGTTGTACAATCATTACCCCCTGGAAATGGAACAAGTCAAATAAACCATTAAAAGCCATAATTACTGTGACGTTCATGGCCACAATGAGTGTGTGTGCAACCTTCTGACCATAGCTGTGTGAACAGATGTTATTGACTATCATGGTTGCTTTGCAACCTGTAGCCAACGAGTGTCAAAAATGCAAAGGAGTAGGTCCTGTTATTCACAACTAGCTTGTGTCTTTGAACTATTTTACTTAGATTACCTTTGTCTTTGTTGCGCACTGAGATATAAAGCTGCACGTATAGAACCACAAATTACATCCAGCAAAAATAGTTTAAAGGGTTTTGGGAATACTTTACAACATTTTGCCGTTTCAGTGATTGGTACCAGGTCAACCTTTTACATTACAGCATGACATATTGTTACAGGGTTATCAAAGCTCCTTTTCAGAAACCTTGCTGTCTTGTTTTGTTTTATTCAGTCATCTCAACTTGACAGCTTGTTGGTAACAGAAAATAACCCTGGGGCTTTGTTTGGTGTAAATTTACTCTTTGCAGGAGAGCTGTTTGCACAAGCTCCAGTCGAACAGTATCCAGGTTGTGTCGTGGAAGCAGTAACAGACTCCAGCAGGTATTTTGTGATCCGGATAGAGGATGGCAACGGTAAGACAAAGTATTTGGAACGGCATGTTTTGTTTCGTTAAGGGCATGCTCCACATTTTGTTGAGCTTGACTTAATCTCAGTATTTGTTTTGTACAACTTAACTTTTGTAATCTCATAGTCCCAGTTTCCTGTAAACTGTGTGCCCTGTAGTATGTGCGTTGTGATTTATAGATGTAAGGTTGAACCCGTGTGAACTAACTGTATAAATATCCTTTTTTTCCCCCCTTAAAGGACGTCATGCTTTTATTGGTCTGGGTTTTGCTGATCGTGGAGACTCATTTGACTTTAATGTCGCTTTACAAGACCATTTTAAGTAAGTCGCCATCTATTACGTTAGCTTTTTATTTTAATTTTATTATCCAGTTTGGGCCAAGCTTTAGGTTTATTTGAGTCCCACATCATCACTCCTCTACTGCCGAGCTTCACAGTTCAACTGAGGTGTTTGATCTGTTGTGTTTGGGGCTTTTGCCACACAACTCCACTTGTGTCTCTTATTTCCAGCAGACATTGTTCCAGAGGTATTGGGGTTTGTTTAGATGCAACTTTACAACCCCAAGCTGTGTTACTAAGTTCTTTTTAAAGGGAAGAGGCTTTCTGACATGTCTGACATTTTAACCCTGAAATGGTTCAAATGTAACTTGAAGTTGAGCATCTTAACTTCTAGTCTAATTTTTTTTTATGTGTATCAATAACCAGATTGATTTAGCAATAATAATTATTCTGCTTTCAATTTTTAAAGGTGGGTCAAACAGGAAGGTGAGCTCGCAAAACTGGAAGCTTCTCAGAGCGCAGCCCCTAAACTGGACCTGAGCTTCAAAGAGGGACAGACCATCAAAATCAGCATCGGGGTGAGCACACAGCGGAAGATTGCAAATCGAATGATGACGCGACAGGTTTCCCAGGGATTTAAAAAAGTTACATTCATTAATGTAAACGAGTATCATGCCTCAGCATTCAAACAGGCTTTTAATGCACTGTAGGGGAAAAAGTCACCACTCTGATTGTCAGCCCAGATTAAGGTAGCTGGATAAGCGCACACTACTTTTTAGGTTTTTCTCTTTTATCAGTAAGTCATGTTTGCATCAGCGGTTCTTGAGAAAGCTGGCTATTCTGCACTGTCACATTTTTGTCTCACGCATTCAGTGAATGTCAGATTTCAGATTAGTTTCTGGATTATTTCCAGTCTTTAGGAATCAAAGCTACTCAATTAAATGAAAAATCATAAACTTGATTATTTAACTCTGTGTCTTTTAAGAAAAATAGTACTTGTTGTACCTCACAGACTCCTGTGTTTCCAAACAGATAAAACGGTTTTACGACTTTTGTTAATCAAAGTTTGAACCTTGCACAACTGAGTGCCTAAGAGGTCAAATACTTAAAAAGACGACTCTCTGTTACAGAACATCAAGAAGAAGGACGCAGGTGGTGCCAAACCACGGCCCATGGCTGGTGGCCTGCTCCCTCCTCCACCTGGAGCAAAGGCTGGAGGTATCCTGCCACCTCCGGCAGGAGCACAGACAGTCCCGCTTGCACAGGCGAACACCGGTGATCACGATGCTTCTCAACCGCAGCAGCTTTTTGCACAAATACGTGCTAACCGTAACGATGCTTATACCAACACGGATTTCTTTTTGTCTCCAAATCCAGCTCCTCTTCTAGACTTCGGCTCGCCCGTCCCTGCACCCCAGCCCAGCTCCGACGTGTGGGGAGATTTCACATCCGCGGGTTCCAAGTAAGACATCACCTACACCTCTGTGTGCCTCAGCGTTACATCCATCCATCTTTGTTTGATTTCTTTATTTTATTTCTGTGTGTGTTCATCAATCTCCCATCCTTTACCCCACCCCTCTCATCCACAGCTCCAGTACAGATGCTGTCAAGTCAGGATGGGTGCAGTTTAGTTGAGCTGTAAGAAAACGTGCAGAAACTCAGGTTCCAAACATTCCACGGACAGGACGATTGTGGTGAAAGATTTATAATTTTTCAAAAAAGAAAGTAAGAGGGGAACTGTTAGGAGACTCATTTGCTGCACTTACTCTCACTCCCTCTGACAGCACACTCTGGAAGAACAAACGTTAAAATGTGTATATTTTTACAATCTCCTGTTTCCCCACACTCTGCTATGCAGTAGGATCGATATTTTTAAATAGTCGGGTAACCACTGAAGTGTAAATGAAGTGTCCAAAAAGGTCGTCTCTTCACACTAACTTGATCAGCTGTTTCTTTATAGCTTTAAATCAGATGCTCCCATGTTTTCATCTTCAATCTGTCTATAATTGTGAGTAGATTTGATTGTGCCTATGTGCTCTTGCGCTGTCCTTTAATGGTCTGATTTCACCAGCACCGTTTAGCTTAAGGTTTTTGTTTTTTGGTGGACATTTGAGAAAATAGTTGGAATGTCCCCGTTTTGTTTAGCTGTTTACAAAAATGTGTTGTTTTTCTGCTTTAGCTACTCTCATCTTTCTGATTCTTCTTTTAGTACACCTGTTGAAGCTTTATTGATCATTTATAATTAGTTTTACATTAACTTTCCTACGCCCTCATTATTTTTTTTAATCATATGTCGGGGTAAAAAAAATCATTTCTGTCTGTCGTTCAAAGCGTTGACATGTCTTGTTGGTGTGTTTGTCCTCCGTGTGTCTTTACCTCACGTTTTAAATTGTGCCTTTTACCCAGCTGAAACTTCCTTACCCCCGTTGGCAATTGCATCGACTGTTTGATTAAGTGCCTTCCTGAAAAAAGTATATTGTATAAAATATAAACCTATGTCTTCTTGTAAATAAACTATATATATTTCAGTGGTGTTGAGTTTTTGATTTTAAATAGGAAGGTTGGTGGTTAAATCTATGGCTGCTCCAGTCACAGAGCCTGTGAATGACACATGCTTTATAAAGTGCTTTGGGTAAAAAAGTAGAGTGGAAAGGTGCTTTATCGATGAAGTCGGGACCACTGTCAGGGTTGGGGATAGTTGTATAATTTTCAAGGTCTACAATCAAGAAACGCTTTCATGTATGTAAACAGAGGATTTACATTAAGCTCCAAACCACTGTTTACACGCGAGAGCAGGAAGGACAGATAAGACTTTACCAGAAAACACATAAAAGAGCCCCCACAGTGCTGAAAATGGATAAATCACTAGATGGATGAAGCCAAGATTAACTTGTGTCAGAATGATGGGAAGGAAAAAAAACATGCACCAAACTTTACAGACACCAAACTGAAACAGATTCAGCTGAAAAACATTTAGACATTTAACGTTTCCTGTGAAGTAAGTGTGATCGGGATTTATTTACTAGACTACAGGTGTCTAATATCAGTTCATTAATACAGTTTGGCACAACACATGTTTTAGAAATGATTTGGCAGCCTGAGCTACTAATTAAAGTAAACATGAGGTTGCTGTGCAAAGAAGTGGAGACTCAGGACTGATTGGTTTTTCTAACAAAGTCAGAATAATGGTTTGTATGGAAGCTTCTTTCTGCCATTGTAACAAGAATGGGGGGGAGGGGGGGGTGTCACAATTTCAATTTCATAACTCATAATAAAATAAAGATCCTAAAGATTCACCTTGTATGCATTTTTAAATTTCTCCCTGAAGGCAAAGTACCTAACAACAACCAACTTTTATTCATCACGTACACAATCATACAGAGTAAAACATGCAGTGAAATCCTTGCGTCCGAAAGGACAGGCTGCAGACGTGGTCGCGCCATCTCAGGGCTTGGTTTTAGCATGGAGGGCTAGCCAGGACCCTTAATGGATACCACCGGCAGACAGGAAATGAACTTGCAACTCCTGCTGCAAAGGTGTGCAGTAACTACGCTGTCCAGCTGCTTGTTATTTTATATGTATTTATTTTTGTTATTAAATAGTAGATGAATGGATGGATTGGATTTTAGATATTATTTTGATGCTTTTAAAAGATAAATGTCTCTCATTTTGTTTACTGAAATTGTTTTTAAAATATTTTATTTAAAAATAATATTGTTTTATTAAACATATGGCAAAATGGATTTGATTGGATGTTAGATATTAAAAATGTGAACTGAAAAAGTAAATGTCTTATTATTTTTGTTCATTTAAGATGATTATTTAAGAGAGGTTATTTAAAAATATAAATTTAATTCATTTTTTAAATTAAGCATTGGATATGATAATATGACTGGATTTTAGATAGTTAAAAGTGTTATTTTGTTCACTTAAAATTATTATTTATAAGATATTTTGAAATAAAATAATGAAGTGTATCGATTCTTTAATTTAACCTTGGATAAATGTATATGCTCGGATTTTAGATATTATTTAAAAGATAAACATCTGCATCACTAAAAATATTTCATTTTTTACAAATTTCACACTTCAAACATACACACTTTTTTTTTTTTAAAGATACTCGTTTATTTGAGTGAATAACAGCGTTCATTCAAAATGCCAGCGCGTTATGGAGCTCGGTGTGATCATATGATAGACCCGCCGCTGATCTGTATGAACTGGAAGTCCCTCCCCGGAAAAAGCATGGAGAAGATTTCGAAACAAGGCGACCCTGCGTGCAGGGAGCCGACGGTCCGTTTGTAAGTGCCGGGATGAGCTTCGTGCCTGCTTTTGCTGTGTAAAAAGCCCACGCAGAGGAGAAATGGAGAGACAGCAGGAAAACGGTGAGCAGAACGAGCAGCCGAGGAGAGATGTTTATCAGACAGGGAAGCGGATGTTTTCACTGCTAAAGCTGCAGCAAACACGACATGATGTAGGTGTAGATGGTGTTTATATTCAGCCTCATGTTTCCACAGCAGTCACGATCTCCTCCTCTGATGGTCGGGTTGCGAAAAAGTCTCCGTTTAATTTTGGTTGGATGCTGCGCGGCTTAACGTGCAACCATCTCCCTCCTCCAACTCCTCCAACTCCTCAGACTTTTGAAAACTTGGGCGTGTCTTTGTGGATGTCGGTGGTTTCTGTGCTTAAAGAGGATGTTGGCGATGAATCGTTTGGCCGTGTTCTCCTTTATATGCACATAATAAACGAGAAGCGCAGAGGGATCTGCTCAGGAAATCAGTGATTTAAGGTCGGTGCAGAAGAAGTCCCGTTTGTTTAACGTGTGGGGAGGAACGGACAGTTTGGGGGTGTGTTCGCATTTGGAGATTCAGGATGAACAATTGCGAAGATCGACAGATTTTTAAGGTTTGATTTCACTGAAGTCAGTACCAGTTATCTCCTGTCACACCAGTAGGGGGCGCCAAAGATATGAATAAGTTTAAACCGAACTTTTCATTCCTGGGAAATGAAAATCTTTCATTTATTTCAGATTAGAATACTATGGTTTTACGTCAGCCACTTTATTAGGTACACCCTGCTTGTGCGGGACCCCCGCCTTTAGAGCTGCTTTAATTCCTGGTGATCTTAGCTGACAGCAGTGTCTCCTGTCTCCTTCTGCATGTCTTGGTTGGAACAAGTGGTTATTGGAGGTACTGTTGCCTTCCTGTCATTCACCTCCGAGCTATGAGGCATCTTCTCCAAGAGAACTGCTGCTCATTAGATATTTTCTCTTTTTAAATCCCAGAGATGGTTTTAAGGGAAAATCCCAGGAGATCAAAAGTTTCTGTCCTCACATCCAAAGTCACTTTAATCACCTTTGTTCCCCATTCTGATGCTCCGTTTGAACATCAACTGGTCGTCTTGACCCTGTCTATGTGGCTCAATAAACTGAATTACTTTCATGTGGCTGAGTAGACATTTGCCTTAAAAAAGGTGTGCCTAATGAAGTGGTCGGTGAACTAGTGTCAGGCGTGACAGCATGACTGATGATGTCACAACACATCAGTTTTTTGTTGTTTATTCCTGTAGCTTTAAATTTCAGTCATTCGGAAATTTAAGTCAGCATTCACCAAAGTCATTATAGCCCAATGAAACTGTGGTTAAAAAAAACAAAATAACATTTTAGTTAAAGGAAATAAAATCAAAGCTAGAGATTTTTTGAGGGGGAAAAACCGTCTGGAACAATGTTATTACTGTGTTATTACAGTCTACTGAGCATCGGGATGTCTAACACACTAAATCTACATCCTTTGGGAAGTGCTGTTTGTATTGCAACATCTATTCAGAACTTCTGAACAACATGCCCCTATCAAATACTCTTAAAATTATAATGATGAATTTACAAAATTAAAAGTAAGAGTCAAATTACTAAAAACTAAAGTAAACAAAAAGACCAACTCTGAAATCTAACTCAAACTAAACTGGATTGAAAACAGAAAAACTCAGAAACTTGGGGAAAAAATCCCTATAATAATAATAATGAAGCTGTAATAACTTTGAGTTTTGATGTTTATTCCTGTAAGTCCTTTTGTATTTGGGCTTTTTAAGGACATTTAATCTGGTAATACTCGCTCCCCCAGGGCCCTGTGTGGTTTCAGGGGTTATAGGGTGGAGGGATGGTAATGTGTACTGTAAGAGAAAGTACTCACAAGCATAGAAATGCAAATGTGAGTGTGAGCGGGAGAGCTGGGTTAAGGCAGGGTGGGGGGGTCTGGTATTGACACAATGATCCTCTTGTCTGTAACCTTGACAATTCAAACGCCACACAGTGCAGCACACACCCCGTCATCTTCAATGCCTGTGTCACAAAGCAAACAACAAAGCAGATGCTTTGTTTAGCTTTGTGCTAAAGTTGCTAATGTATTAAAATTAAAAACGTTTAAACGCTAAAAGAAGAAGAAGGAGAAGCAGAAAACAAAGTCAAGTGTAAAGATACGAAATATTTGTGATTTTGTGAATTATTCCCATTACAGCTGCTTGAAAGTAAAGATATAATAATGGAGAAGATGTCACCTCTTTGCTCCCCCAAAATTCCTGAACAGGAACAACACCCTTCCCACAGAAAATATTTATCAGAAATGAATAAAGTGAAGAAAACTGTGGATACACCATACTGATGTTGTTACAATCCACGTATTCAGTGGGAGAAATGTTTTGTCACTCATCCAAGTGACTACAATAAATAAATAAATAAAATAAAGTAGATCTGCGAAACAGTACTTTAGTAAAGTATTTTAGTAAATGTACTAACTGTGCATGCTCTCATCCAGTGCACGCTGTGGGTTTTACAGTCGTCTGATTGCATTGGTGGGAGTGGGGTATCAGTAAGATTCAGTCATGCTGCCCCCTCTGGATGTACCCCTGCCCTTCAGAAATGAAGAAATACCCCAAACCCACTAGTGTTAAGCTATATCAAGATAACATTTTATACCTTCCCTTTTTTGTTTTTGCAAACACGCATTCATAGTTTCATGAAGCAGATCCAAACTGTGATGACAGTCATCACCCTAACACCAAAAATACTGAACAGCACTAAAAGGAAAACTGAAACTGACTAAGGCAGCATATTTGGTTTTGTCTTGACTTGTCCAAACACAAACGACTGACCTTAAATATGTTTTATGTCATGTTTAGACTACTTCACTGCATTTCAGAGGAAAGTATGAAACCCTTATTCTCCCATTTAAGTGACAGTCACAACTTTTCAAAAAGTCACACACACACACATCCATGTGTAGAGCACTTAACATGTAAAAGTATAATACAAGTGTAAATGGATATATCTGATCCTTTTTGTGTCATTAAAACTAAGAAGTGGCGCAAATTACCTGGATTAATAATAATAATAATAATAATAATAATAATAATAATAATAATAATAATATGATTGCAGTGACAATATGTTGTTTGTTATAACTGCTTCTTTGGCTGGCAATAATTTTGTACTTTTAATTAACCCCTTAAGCTGGAGGATATTTTTTAAAAAATTTTTTAGATATTAATTTAAAAAGATCCTTAAAAACACTCAGTAACAGCTGCACTGCTGCACTGCCACTACTTATGCTTAATCGAAACAAGAAATTTGGTAGACGCTTATGCTCTGTTGTTTTTTGTTTGTTTGTTTGTTTGTTTTTGTTTTTAAACCCTCATATTCAAAAAGTGATTGCTGCTGTTTCTGTGGTTGTTTGTAAAGTCCATTCTTTGCTTGTATTGGTAAATAGACTGTAGTCAACATGATTTATGAAAGGCTCATATACAAAATAAAGAAATGACCTGCTTTGGAAGCACCCTCATGATTCTGTTATGGTAGCTAATGGACCCAGCCCTTTTTCACCACTTAAAGTGTGTTTTAGAAATGTCTGCTCCCCTCTTGGACAGGTCACTCTGAAATAACCTTTTAGTCTTAATGAGACCTTTGACCTGGATAAATAAAGGCTACATAAAACTTACCTAAATGAGAGAGATGTTTCACAGATTTTGGGTCAACAAGTCAGTTGTAACAGATGGTCTGTGTTTTTGGCAGATGAACACTTTTTGGCACGACGCCGTAAAGGAGTTTAAAGATATCTACTGCTTCTCTCGGTGGGCTCAGGAGTGCCGTAACTATCTGAATCAATATTAACATACTGACGTCACAAAAATCAGGTTAATTTTTCGGCATCTTCTCGCAACTGCGAGGCTCGAGAGTAGCTGGATATCAGTGACGTGTGGAGGGCTCTGAATGTGAGAAGTGGGAGTGTGGTGATAGTGGTGGAGGTGGAGGAGGTGGGGGGTGTGCATTTTAAAACCTGCTAATCCTGCTGTCCTCAATCTCTGCCTCCCGGAGGAAGAGGAGGAGGAGGCGACGGGACGGACGCGCACTGCTCCTCTGCGACTAAACTTTGTCGGCTCATACCAAATAAGCAGCTAAGGCTCACAACTGTTTCTTTTTCCCGCTCCTGCTGCAAAGCAACAGACCATCGCTGACACCGTGAAGACGTAGAATTTATTCGGAGTTAATCCTGTTACCCGGAGGATTTTAAATACCTGCCGGTGCGATGAGCGCTGCGGAAAACTCCGCAGAAAGCGACTCCAGCAGTAAACTGGAGTCTGTGATCCAGGTGAGGCTCGCCGGGCCTGCTCCAGCTCACTTGATCATTTCCTTAAATGACGCAGGTGTGGGGCAAATAATAGCGGCTCATCTGGGGCGTGCATGCGCTTGTTTCTGTTTGGGAGCAGTTTTGTGTATCCATTGCGTAGCAGTCGTGGTCCAGTGCCTGTCGTGACACCGTTGGGTTTGTGGCACTTTTCAGACACATTATTGTGATCACTCGGCTTCTGTCATGTGTTGTGATTTTCTGTGTTTACAGCCTTATTTCATATTTTCTCAGCTCTGTGTTGCTGATCTTTCTCTAAACGTCACAAACTAAATAAAAACGGCTGCGCCTGTCCTTCTCCACCAGAGGCTGGAGGAGAGCGTTCTGTCTGAGGAGAAGAGGCTGACAGTCCGGGGTCCATCACCTGATGCCCCCCCTACATGTCTGCCAGCACGAGTGCGAGAGATTGTGACAAAGAACCTCAGCGACAACGGTGAGTTGCTACAGTCCTCTCTCCTTCACATCAAATCAGTGCCGTCTTTGCCTGACTTTGGCTTTTCTTTGAGCAGCAGGGGCCATGTCCTCGGTCATGTCCCTCCAGGAGGAGAACCGAGTACTGCAGGGGGAACTGGCGAGGTTGGAGGACCTGCTGGCACACAGCAGAGCCGACCGAGACGAGCTCGCCATCAAGTACGGTGCAATCAGTGAGAGGGTAAGGCAAGTCTCCAGGATGCCTGCAAACAGCACTTAGTTGTCATTTTGGTAGAATAGGTTGAGAGGTGGATGGAATCATTATAGCCTGTTAATCTTTTGCAATAAGTTCAAACACTCTTCAGGTGCTCTGGCTTTACACACATTTAAAGCTCAGGACCGTGCCACATTCCCTTTTCCTCATTTATGTGGTTTTTTGGGTCCTTCCTTTGTCTGAGATTTGCTCGTCTCCCAGGTGATGGGGGCTGGAATCAACTGAAGTGGAATGTTGCCATGGCGTCTGTCACCCTGGGTGACTGTAAACAGGGGCTTCAGTGGCGAGGGGAGATGCAGTGTTGGGTGGGTGGGTGAGTTGGGTGCTACAGCTCATTTGGGGTGGGTTGAACATTACAAAAGGAATAACTGCAGCCTGCTTCCTAAAACACGAAGAAACTGTGCCGGAGATCGTCCAAAGGAATCTTTTCTCTTTAAAGAATAAATTAATGTATATATGTATATTTTACTCTTGTAGGCTGTTGAGATGCCTGCTGCTTTAATGTCACACATAAAACAACCAGTTTAAAGGAGAGTGTCCACCTTTTATAACTTAATGGACTCATTTCAAAAGTGTATTTAAAGTAATAACTGGTCTCCACTTTGGGATACAGACACTCTGTAGTACTGAGCAGCTGGAATATATGTTAGTATGTGAGTCAGCTTTCTCTTAAATATAACAGAACTAAATGGCGCTCACCCTGTGCTGTTCAAAGTGCCAAAAAAATGATTTATAAACTCAGCAGATGTGCCTCTGTCCAGATGTCACGCTCAGGTTACACAAAATAATCCACAAACCTTCTTGTGAAGAGTTTCATTTAAGAGTGAACATCTATGCAGCATAGAAAGAAAGATGTGGCTGAAAACAAAGTTAGTATTTCTTAAGTACTATGACCTCCATTTATGTAGTTTAAATGTAGTATTTTCCTCATTTTATGCATTCATGAGAGGTTTCACAGGAAATAATCAGGATGTGTTTTGTACCAGTGCCATCAGTGTACGCACAAGCTTTCCAGAACAGCTGTTAAATGGTGAGATGGTTTGGGGAAATTCTGTTTTAAAGTCTGGAAAATAGTTCCCATCTCAAGTACTTTGCTCACTGGGACTTACAGAACACGTATACAGGTATTTTTGGATGCAGTCCAAACTTGGCAGTGCCATGCAGATCTGTCATGAAGAAGTGTGAAATTAAACCCGACCCCTTGCCTCTTACCTTTCATTAAAACCACAGCTGGAGCAGGCGCTGCGTTTTGAAACAGGGGACGAAGACCACGATTCACCAGAGTCACGCAGCTTGGCTCAGCAGAATGTGGATTTGCGCAGGCGGCTGGACGAGGAACAGGCGGCCTACAAGCGCAAACTCACTGCATACCAGGAGGGGCAGCAGAGGCAGGCGCAGCTCGTGCAGAAGTTGCAGGCCAAGGTGCGTCTGTTTTATTTCCCTCTTCTGCTAAGTTGTTATTGATGAGGTGCGACTACTGGTGTTATTTCCTGCTCCTTCAGGTGCTTCAGTATAAAAAGAGGTGTGGTGATCTGGATCAGGCGCTGCAGGAGAAGTCATCAGAGTTGGAGAAAAACAGTGTAGGCGACCTCAAGTTTACTGTAAACATAAGGAAGCCGATTTTTATCCACAGGTTAAAAATAATATGTCCAATGTCATCTTTTGATTTTAGGGTCACAGCGAAACATCGAATGGTCGCCATCAAGATGAAGCAAGCAGCAACCTGGAGGATGCTTTAATCCGTCTGGAGGAGGAACAACAAAGGTGATGCATCATGAGAGAAGAGACGTAAAATGATTTAGCTGCAAACCTGTAACGTCCTCAGACTGTTGAAAAGTATCAGTGCAGCCAAACCAGAGATAACTCAGAGAAAATTCAATATTATTTATATAGTGCCAAATCAGAAAAACTTAGAGGTGCTTTACATTATAGGGTAAAGATCCTGCAATATTAGAGAGAAAAACCCAACAATCAACCAGAGTAAACATCTGGTTAGACACCATGCTTTTAAGATTGTTAGGGTTGAGTACAATAACCTCAGTTTTATCTGAAATTACAAGCAGAAGAGGTCATCCAGATCTTTGTGCCTTTAAGACATTCACACAGTTTAACTAATTGGTGTGTGTTATCTGGCTTCATGGACAGATAAAATTGTGTGTCATCTGCATAGCAGTGAAAATGTATGCTATACCTTGCCTAAGGGAAGCATGTATAATGTAAACAGAATTGGTCCTAGCACTGAACCCTGTGGAACTCCATAATTAACCTTAGGGTGTGAAGAGGACTCTCCATTTACATGAACAAATTGGAGTCTATGAGATAGATATGATTCAAACCACCTCAGCACAGTACCTGTAATACCTACAGCATGCTCTAATCTCTGTAGTAAAATGATGTACAATATTAAGCTGTCAAATCAGAATCATTCGTAACCTTCACTAAAGCGGTTTCTGCGCTGTGACGAGCTTCAAATAAGCCATTCCTCTGCAGATGATCAGTTAGCTGTTTTACAACTACTATTTCAAGAGTTTTTAAGATAAAAGTTCGGTTGGAACTTGGCCTATAATTTGTTAAAACAGCTAGCAGTGGTTTAATAAGTGTCATTGTAAAGAATTGTGGCACGTAGCCCATAAATAGAAACAGAAACATTAAAACCTGCACTAACACCATTTTTTATATGTCAAACTTTAATTAAAAATTAATTATTAGAAATTATTTAACTGGTATTTAAATAACCTGTGAGCCACATTTATGACAGCTGTGGTTGTGGGGATAGTGTGAGATGTCTGCTAATCAGAGGGTCAGGGTTCAGTCCCAGTGTTGAATGTGTCTAAATTAGTATGTGATAAAGCTAGGTAAAGCTGCTTTTGTCTGCTCCTTTATTCACAAGGAAGCAGCTTAGCAGGTTTCTACGCATGTCTCATTAGGCAGATTTGTTACACCAGACCCTGTCCTTAACCCAAAATGACTTGTGACTCCTCCTGGGATCAAACCAGGGACTGCTGCACTATAGAGGCACTGTGTGTGTCTGTGTGATTGTTAAAAAGTGTTTAAGAGAGCGGGACAAAAAGCTTTATTAATCTAAGTGTGGCCTATGATGTAGCAGCACTTTGAGTAATATGAGCAGAAGACGACTGTATAAGTCTGTTTACCAGCATTCATACAGTGCTTTATTCTGTGCACTTCAAGCGTGTTGTCTCTATCACACTCACACTTCAGTGGCTGTATCCAGGACAGTTTTCGGTTCATTTCATCTTGCCCACATCTTGCCTTCCAATTATTAGTTGAACCTCCAGAGCCACAGCTAGGGTTGCACTGGCTCTACAATGCTCTCATTGCAAATTTATTTATTTAAAAAACTTAAATTCAGCAAGGTCGTCCTCTGAGATCAAATTCTGCTTTTGCTCCGTGAGCTTAGCGAGCTTCCTTTGGAAAACTCTGTCTAAGCAATCTTCCAACAGGACTGTTACCTTGAGCAACATAACTTGCTTAGTGGATTCAGCCACCAACAGCTCCCAGTTTCAACCTGATGCTGATGATCAGGGAACATCACACTATGATAGCTCCCTTTGAAGCTGCAAATAAATGTATATGGATTTATTACTTTAATTTTACATATGCAACAGTCTTTAAAAAATGAATTGTTTTGTTATTGTAAGGATCGATGGACAGAATTGATATAGATGGTATTGCACTCATGCAGGAACAGCGTATTTTCATGGCCTATGTATAGCAGATATAAATAGTTATCTAACTGCCAACATAAGCTGTTGGCCAGTTAGTCCACTGAGTTATTATTTTTAACTCTTTTTATTTAGAGACTGAAGATTTTTGAGACATTTTTCAGTTGCAGCCAAAACTATTTTTACAGGAATGAGTCATGAGCTCATCTGTGATTGTGCTCCGTTGTAATTTGACTTTAACTTTTACACCAAAAACATAGGAAATATGAGAGTGAGCAGCCTTTTTTTTAAAACCACGCAGACTCTAGTTAAGGAGGATTTCATGAATTCAGTCATGTATTATACCAAACATCTGCAGGCCTGATCAATCTTCTCCTTTGCGTGTTATTTAACCACTTTCCCTTTAAACAGCTCCAGCCTGAACTGCGTGTGTTATATTTGAGTGTTTTCATGTTGTGACTTCAGGAGCAGCAGTCTGTCTGCAGTGAATGCAATGCTGAGAGAGCAGTTGGAGCAGGCTGGTTTGGCCAACGAGGCTCTCAGCCAGGACATCCGCAGGCTCACTGCTGATTGGACAAAAGCCAGAGAGGAGCTAGAGCAAAAGGAGTCTGACTGGAGGAGAGAAGAAGAGGTGGGAGAGGGATGCTTCTTAAATATTAAAAGGAAATTCAGGAAAGTATAAATTCAGAATAATCATTACTCGTTTTAATTTCCTTTGGCCTCCTGTTCAGTCTTTCCACAGCTACTTCAGCAGCGAGCACAGCCGACTGCTGACACTGTGGCGACAAGTGGTCGGGTTCAGGAGGCATGTCTGCGAAATGAAGAGCACCACTGAAAGGTAAACTTTGTTCTCCTCAGTCTTATTTTATCTTTTGACTCGTGTTTTGTCTCTCACTCCTTCCCGCCTCTCTCCAATCTCCCGCAGGGACCTGTCAGATATGCGTAATGAGCTGGCTCGGACGTCCCACTCTGCTCAGGTGTCCTGGGCCGGTCTGTGTGCCACGCTGCAAAGTCGGGAGGGAGGAGCAGTTCTGGCTCTGGAGCAGGAGAAAGCTCTGAGGGTTCAGCTGGAGCAGCAGCTGAGAGGTCGAGTGGCAGAGATGATGAGCTTTCAGAGCAGGATGGACGCAGAGAGAAGCGAGCTCAACGTCAGGTCAGGGTGCCGAGCCGTCCTGCAGGCTTACAGTTGTATAAGTTGTTTTTAATCGAGCTGTCCAACAGGAGGAGCTAGTTTAGTAAAAGTCCCCATTGTGTAACAGCGGGAAGACTTCCAGCACTTTTCATTTAAAACAACGAGAACTGACTCAAAGTGCAAAACTAAAGGTCCTTTTTACCGTCCGCGTGAGTTTAATTTCATATTGTCTGTTTTCGTTCTGATTTTTAGGTTGTCCGATTTGGTGCGAGAAGGGGAGAGACTAAAGGGACAAATTGAAGAGCGTGACAGAGAAATTGTAACACTAACGAGGAAGCTCGAGGTGAGACACCAGTCACGGAGGCCATAATGGTTTCATACTGGTCCGCTTCATGTGCTTCATGTGAATCATTTCCCTTCAGGAGCAGAGCGGCAGTGATGAGACTGACATGCAGATGATGAGGACTCACACTGAGACGCTGTTAGACACACTGCGGGACATCGCTCAGGTAAACAACACACACATTTTTACATCAGCTGATTTCTCAGTGGGAACCCAGATGGAAGGGCTTCATTTTAACTGCGTTTACAGACGGTTTCAGCAGACGGAGAGTCGTCATCGTCAGAAGCAGATCAGGACAATTCTGGGGCTCTGATTCGTGACTCTTTCCCTCGAAGGCCGTCCTCTCCCACTCGACCCTCCTCGCTGTCTCCTCTCCCAGAGGCGGCGCTGTCTGCTCTCCGCTCTGCAGTCACAAACAAGACACTCCAGCTGCAGGTGACATGTTAATCTATAAACACAAAGGACCGCACACAAACCCTCTGAAAGAGGTCACTGATTTTATTTGCCCGCCTTTTCTGGATGTTTAAGACAAGCTAAACGACTTAAAAATCAATGAAGCTCAGACATTAAGTGCTAAAATCTGTGGTGAGACTTTAAAATCTTTCATGTTGTAGGTGCTGTATCCTTGTAACATCATCATCATCATCATTATCTCCACTTGTCCGGTTGTGTTTGCAGGATGCTCGAAGCCGTCTGCTCTCTGCTCAGTCATCTGTGCAGCAGTTACGAAAACAGCTTTCTGAGTCCGAGTCGGCTAAAAGAGACGCAGAACAGAGAAGCCAAACTCTGCAGCGGGAGAGGGACGCCGCTCAGAGAGAGAGAGAGGCCGCGCTGCGAGAACGGGACCGTGTGAAGCAGGAGAGAGACACGCTGGCCAGGTTTGCCAAACTTCACTTACAAAACCTGCCTGGAGACCCAACAGTGTATTTATCCTCAACTCTGCATTATATTCTCACATGCACACACACACATGTGATGAATGTTGCAGCGAGAAGGTGAACCTGGAGAAGACAGTGCAGGCTGCGCAGAGCAGCAGCCAGCTCCTGCAGATGGACTGCGAGAAGCTTCAGCTGACCGTGGCGTCCGTGCAGCGAGAGCGAGACCACGAGAGGGAGGAGAAGGAGGCTGTCGTGCAGGAGAGAGACCGGGCGAAGGCAGAGACGCTGCGGGTGTAAGCTGGCTAATTCGTAGAGATTAAGTGAATGTGATGGGGGCACTAATCCACACGCTGCACATGCTCACAGTGTGCCATTCAAAAGATCTGCATCAGCTCCCTCTACATAAGCATCTCAGTCATTAACAAACTCCTCCCTGTACAGCCCCAACATCTCATTTACAGCTTTTGCGTAAAAGTTTGACTCTATTCACAACTATTGTGCTGTCCAGTCATCCCTTCCTGCAATAGAACAACAAGCTTCACACACTAACAGATACACACCAAGAGTCCTCCCTGATTTTCAGTGAACAACACGTGTTGCCTCAAACAGACAGAAGCAGTTGGATCAAAGCGAGAGTCGAGCCTCTGCTCAGCGTGGCGAGTTGTCTGCAGTGAGGGAGACTCACCAGCAGGGGGAGGTTCAGAGGCAGCTGCTGGAGCAAGAAAAAACACAGCTGTCTGAGGCGCTGGCTCGGGTAAGAAAATAGTAATAGTCTGTGTATTTGTCAGAGGTGAAGCGCTACTAGAGTACTGCCAGAGTGCAAGGGAGCGACACTCTGCCACTTTTTTGTTTTGGATGTATTTGTTGAGAGGAAATTAAAGTTAGTCCATTAAAATTCAGTTGTCAGTTTCAGGGTTTTTCATGCAAGAAAGTTAATGAAGGCAAAACGAGTGGTGGAAGTGTTCATGATATTAAGGTGCAGATTTAGTAGCAGTGTCCCAAAAACAATAGAGCATGCTTCTTTCAGCGCTAAATGTAACGTTAGACTGTGTGTTGCAAATATCAGTAAATCAAGTATTTTAAATATTTTCCCTCTGATGTTTTGTGAAAAGGAAAATCCTACAAATACATTTGCAATAAGGCCACTAAACAACCTGCAGCATCTATGGCTTTCAGCTCCAAAGCTGATGCTGCACGTCTTCAGACAGCAGCTTTGTAACGAGTTTTACGATTATTTTTGCAGCTGACCTCATAAATATATTTTTAGGAGTTTCCCTTTCAAAGCGCTGACTGTACGACTGTACATGTCGTCTGTGACACAGATTTCAGGTTTTTGAATAGTTTGTCGTGAAGCAGCGCTCCTCTGGATGACTCCTGCCTCCACCTGAGCTGTCTGATGTAACTAAAACTCCGAAGACTTTATGTTTTTAAGTTTAGTCAGACATTTTATTCAGTTATTCTTGAAAACTTTCAGATAAACTTGTGGTGCAATAGCCCGACTGCTGCGCTCGACTGCTTAAACAAATAGCACCTGTTTGACCGTGATTCTTCCCTCCAGGCTGAAAGCAAAAACACGGAGCTCTGTCTGCTGCTTAACAAGCTCCAGTCTGAGGATGCAGCTCTCAGAGACTCTCTGGCAAAGATGGGCAGCATGAACGAGGGTCTGGCACAGGACAAAGCAGCCTTGAACACCTACATCCTCAAGGTAAGGGAGCTGCAGTGCTATTTAAAACCTCCACATATGTCGTTTCAAGCCCATTTGATATGAAATACTCTTGTGTCTCTGTGGACGAGAGTTAATGCCAGTGTAAACAGAGTAATGTAGTTAGATTCAAATTCAGGTGTTGCCAAACTGTGATTGGTGTGCGTCATCACCCATTTCCATCCCAGCCGAGTAAAATAAACAAACCTGTTCTAGATTTTAAGAGAGGTTTTCAGGCCTTTAATGTGACTTGCTCTCACCTCTGTGTCTAAGCTCGAGGAGGAGAAAGCCGTCCTGCAGGCTCAGAAACGCGACGCTGAGCAGGAAAAGCTGACCATCAGAGATGAGCTGGTCCGGCTGGAGCAGGACAGGCTCGAGCTGGAGTCCGCCCGCATCACACTGCAGCAGTCGCTGCAGGACGCCGAGCTAAGCCGCGTGGGGATCGAGGCTGAGCTCCAGAGTCTCAGGGCTGAGAGACTTAAGCTGCAGGAGAAAGTCACCCAGGTACAACTACACATTACATCATTTCCACTCTGAGAGCACTTTAAACATGCCTTGAATGATGGATGTTGCATTCCTGTGCACATTGTCTTGTAAATAAGAGAACACAGGAAGATATTTCCTGTTTGTAAAACACCGGTCTATTACCAGAGCTTGGTTGAAAAAGTTGTTTGCAACATGGGCCTAAAGCGTTATTTTGAATGACCCAAAAATAAATGCAGATAATACGACCACATGGCTGATTTCTCGCCTCAGTTATTTTAAAAACACATTTAAAAATGGAAAGGAAAGTTTTTAAATCAGACAAACTGTTGGTTAAACTTTGAAACCCAGAAGAAAGCAGCAGAGGAGCGATGTGTGTCCGGTGTGTGCAGGTCGGTTTTTGCAAGGTTGATGAGAGACCGCTCACATATGACACTGTGACATGCAGTACCTTTTCTGTTTTTGAATCATCATGTACTTCACACTAATTATAAATAAAAGTGGGCCTTGATATAAACCATGAAGCTGTCTGATATAACAGCATTAAAGTGTTTCAGCTCCTCTCTTTTTAAGGCTTTTGAAAGCCGTTCTCTGATTGGCTGAACTTTGGGGCTGTGGGCCTTAAATGACAGTGACAAGTACATCTCGTATAACTGACATAACAGAAACTGGGTGTTTATAGGAATCTGAAGTCTGAGCTTTTGGCTCACAGAGGTCACTTAACTGACCTCATCATTTTGTACTCGACAGCTTTGTGGTGAGGTGACCTCTTTGGGTTCTGAGTTAAGTCTCGCTAGAGGAGAAGGCCAGAGGAACGAGGTGGCCTTGGAGGAGGTCGGCCGCAGTCAGGCAGAGCTGGCCCGGGACAAAGCGGCCCTCGTGGTTCAGCTGACAGCATCTGAGAGGGAAAATGCCATGCTGTCTGAGGAACTGGCTGCTTTCAGGCATGTTTGGTTTCAGACTTGGTTAATTAGTCAAAAGTGCTCAGCGCACGTGTGTGTAAGTTGTGGTTGTAACCTGCAGGTCGGAGCGCGAGTCCCTGGAGACCAGCCTGTTCGAAGTGCAGCAGCAGCTCGTTCAGGTGGAAACTCGCAGAGAGCAGCTGGAGACAGAGAACCAAACCCTCAGAGTCCGCTGTGAGACGGCTGCAGGTGAGAGGAGAAGTTGATTTTATAATTAAAGATAATAAAAGTTGGTAAATAACAGGAAAGTGTTGTATTTGTTTTCCTGATTGTGATTTCCAGCTGAACTGAGGCGCGTTCGCTCAGACGGGGAGATTGCGTTGGCCCAGACTGAGCGGGAGAAGCAGACTCTGAGTCAGACTTTAAATGCAGCACAGCTGGAGGCGCAGCAGGCCTTGCGCAAGGCCTCCTCTGAGCATCAGGAGGAGGTGGAGAGACTGGTCTCAGAAAAGGTGAGTGGGTTCAGTGGATCACTGTTAGTTTAAATGCTATTTGTGTGAATGTTTTTACACTTGGATGAATGTCATCGTGGTGTTTTGCAGGAAGTTGTGCGGCACAGCTTGCTGATGGAGCATGAGGTCACGCTGAGAAAGCTCAGGCAGGAGATGGAAGATCAGCTCAGCAGAGCAAAGAGAGAAAAAGAGGAGCTGCAGGATGAAATGCGGACTCTGCAGCACGATAGAGATCAGTGTCTCCTCCAGGCTGAGACGGAGAAACAACAGGTCTGATCCCAGCCTGTGAAACTATTCAGCATCTAGAGCTGTATTTATACATCAGATAGCATCTGTCATTTAAATCTTTGGTTTAAAACAGATTTCTTAAAATAATGTCTTTGTTAGAAATGCCAGCATGGCTCAGGCTGTTCCTTCCCCCCTTTTTAAACTTTGTTTTAGTGTTAACCAGACATTTTCTGTCCTCCCAGGCTCTTTCTTTGAAGGAAGCAGAGAAGACGGTTTTGTCTGAGCGGGTTTCCAGTCTGCAGGCTGAACTGTCAGCTGCAGCCCTCGAGACCGAGCGAGTGGCCAGAGAAGCAGCTCATTACAAAGAGCAGGAACAGGTGACGGGAGGAAACGTGGAGGGTTTCACTTCCTGTCCTGATTTGTATTTTGTTGCTGATGTCGAGGCACGAATGAAAGATTAACTACAGCATCACCCTGTTTGTTTTCCTCAGATCAGAGTCGGCGCTCTGACCAGCGAGGTGCTGGAGCTTCGCTCTCAGCTGGAGGATGCAGCCTCTGCTCATGAGAGGGAGCTCCACAGTCTACAAGAGACATGTACTGATCTCCGCTCGCGTGCTGACATCGCTCTCAAAGAGGTAGATCATTATCTACAAGAGCCAAAATGCATAATATCAGATACCAACAACCTAACATATACCTGGTTTCCACTGAACCGAACCAGGTATGACTTGATGGCCCACATTTGAACAGATTTGAGAAACAAGAAGTTAGAAAATAAATTGCTATAAGAAGAAGATCAAAGCGAGGAGAATCTGCCACTGACCATCAGTGTTTCCAACTTTTTAGCATCTGTGGAAGGTTGTAGATATGGGCAGAGGTCAAATATGAAAACATAAAACAGTTTAATTAATTGGTTTTCATGCTGCAAACAAACAAATGTTCTGTCCAGTGACCTCATTTCATCTGATTTTCACCCACCAGCTGGAGCAGTGCAGAGCCGCCCTCGCAGCCACAGAGGAGAGCCGAGACCAGCTGAGGCGGGACTTGTTGGAGACTGAACGCCGCCTGAACCAAACTCAGGACTCAGCAGAGAGCTACAGGAGAGAGGGCACAGAGCTGCGCCGTGGCTTTAGTGATGTCACCAAGGAGAGAGAGGCTCTCAGCCAATCAAATACTTACCTGAGAGAAACTCTGCGAAGTGCAGAAACTGAAAGGATCAGGTATGCATGAGATTGGCAAAGTATCCAGGGACAGAGACACAGAGTAGATGAGATGTGTAAGCAGAGTGTGTGTGTTTTGTTAGTGTGAAGCGACAATGTGAGGAGAAGGAGCAAAAGCTGTCTGTGCTGGAGGAGAATTTGTCTTCCACTCAGAAGGAGGTGACAGAGCTGCGGAGCTGCCTGAGAGAAGTTGAGAGATCACGACTGGAGGCTCGGCGAGAGCTGCAGGAGCTCCGCAGACAGGTCAGACATGCAGTCATCTCTCTCACATCTGAGCAGAACCTGGGAAATATGTTGCACACAGTTTTGCCTCTAAATGTAAATTTTCCTTTTGTCTGGCTCCAGCTGAAGGTCCTGGATGGAGAGAAGGAGCAGAAAGAGAGGGAGGTGGCAGAGCTGCAGACTCGCCTGTCGCTGGAGGAGCAAAGAGACGAGGAGAGAGGAAAAGAGGTTTTCACCCTCAAACAGAAGCTGGCTGAAGCCGAAACAGCCAGAGAGTCCCTCAAGAAAGAAGTGAGAAGGCAGCAAAGTGAAGAAGTTTCCAGCTCTTTGTTAATCTTGCTGTCTTCAGTGCATCACTGCTGTCTCTTCTGTCTTTTTTTTATGTTAATGCAGCTTTCCATGACTCAGAAGCGTCTGCTTGAGTCTGAGTCGGGCTGGCGCAGCTGCGAGAGAGAGCTGACCGCTCAGCTGCAGGAGGCTCGAAGCTGCGAGAAGAAGCTCCAGGACGAAGCTAAGAACTTGTCCCTGCGTGCTCAGACGGCCCAGGACTCCGCCGCTCACTGCAGCCTGCAGCTGAGCGAGGCGCAGGGCCGGCTCGCCGCCACTGAGTCGGAGCTGACCCGAGCCGAAGCCACGAGGAGGGACCTGGAGTTTCGTCTGAGCAGCCTGCAGTCGGCGCTGACGCGGACGCTGGGCATTGGAGCAAGTGGCAGAGGACCCAGGGGGAGGAGCCCAGGAGGGAGCTCCACATCACCTGGCAGCATGTCACGCCACCACAGCATCTCACCTCTGCGCTCCTCGCTGTCGCCTCCTAAAGGTGAGAAGCAAACACGAGGCCTTTGTTTCATTATTGTTGCAAAGTTTATTTAGCTCTGAGACACGATGTTTCATCGATCGTAGCTCAAGAGTTGGGAGTTCGCCTTGTAATCGGAAGGTTGCCGGTTCCCCGGCTCGGACAGTCTCGGTCGTTGTGTCCTTGGGCAAGACACTTCACCTACCGCCTACTGGTGATGGCCAGAGGGGCCAATGGCGCGATATGGCAGCCTCGCTTCTGTCAGTCTGCCCCAGGGCAGCTGTGGCTACAACTGTAGCTTGCCTCCACCAGTGTATAAATGTGTGTGTGAATGGGTGGATGACTGTATGTGTAAAGCGCTTTGGGGTCCCTAGGGGGGACTAGTAAAAGCGCTATACAAATACAGGCCATTTACCATTTATCACTCTGATAAAAAATGACTCCAAGACTCTTCAAATTTTAGCATAATTATAGAAAGAAATTACTGCTTACTGACACCCATAACAAATAACATGAGGAATTACTTTTTGCTGGTCTTGTCTCTGTAGCATTATAAGAACCCTCCTTCACTCCTTCAGCTATCTCAGCGTAACATCTTTCTGTTTCTCCTGTACAGAAATTCGAGGAAGCACCCCTGACAATACTTTGGGCTCAGGCGCTGTATCTCCTGAGAGAGGGGATACACCGGTGCCTCTTCTTCAGTCAGAGCTGGACTCCGAGACTGTGCGAAGCGGTCTCAGAGACTTCCTCCAGGAGCTGCGTGATGCACAGAAAGAGAGGGTAACGGGGCTGCGCGGCACGAAAATGACAGTACATAATAACTCGAGGATAATCTCTTTGTTTGTGTAGCTCAAGTCTTTGTTTATTGCTAATTTTGAAGGATGATGTCCATTGCCAGCTGGGGTCCGTGCAGCGGGAGCTGGAGGAGCTGAAGGTGGAGCGGGACTCTGCTATGAGTCGACTCACTCAGCTGCAGTACTCCATGCAGGAGTACCAAGAAGGTTAGAGAGTTTGCCCAAGTTGTTTAGAAAGAAGGAGATTTTAGATGAGCTCAGGGAAACTTTTCGCTTTCAACAGTCTGCTTGTGTCAAACTCTGAAATAATCTTCATCTGCACAATGAAGGCAAGCTGCCCAAAACCCATTTCTGAGTGGAGTTAAAATTAAGTCTGATAATCTGCTGCAGGCTGTGTTGTTTGGATGTCTCATTATAGGGAAGCGTGGACTGGATGAGCGCCTCACCACCACCCAGATTTTGCTCCAGCAGCAAGAGGAGGCGGTGAGGAGAGGAGACAGAGAGCGGCGAGCTCTCAGCGACCGGGTGAAGGATTTAGAGCGAGCGCTGCAGGCCTCTGAGACGGATAAGAAGCACATACAGGTACTCCATGTTTTGTGTTGTCACTCACACAGCAGTGATCCCAGCTCGGCTACAGTCAACATATGGTAGCGCAACAGAAGGACAATAACTGGAAGCGTGCACTGTCGACAAATGTAATAACAACAGATGCTGGCGCACACTCAGTGTTGCACCACCTGTGGTGTCCCCTGCCAGCCCTCCATATGTTTGTTTTTAATACCAGCACCTTTCAAAATGATTCACCTTCTGGGCTGTGTGTACTACTGAGTGAATCTTTTATCTGTTGTATTTTTTAGAACAAACGTTTTGAGAAGACAAGGAGATTATTGAGCTGTGGCTCCTCTCTGTTTCTAATTGTCTGTTCAAACATAAGTGAATGTAGACTTAATATGACCCTTCTCCTCCATCCATCTCTGCAGGATCAGTTAAATAAGCAGCGTGCTGCCGAAATCCGTCTGGAGGTGGAGAGGAAGCGCCTGCGGGAGGCGCTAGAGGCAGCTGAAGCTCGAGCCACCAGGGTGGAGCTGGGGAGGCGCAGTCTGGAGGGGGAGCTGCAGAGACTCAAGCTGAGCCTGGGAGACCGAGAGGCTGAGAGTCAGGCCTCCCAGGAGCGCCGTGACTCTCTCGTCAAACAGGTACAGATACAGAGCTGTTTATTTATGACTCATGATCAGCTTAATGTGATTAGTTGGGCCTGAGAATTTAGAATAGAATAGAATAGAATAGAATTTAACTTTATTGTCATTGCACATGCACAGGTACAGGGCAACGAAATGCAGTTTGCATCCATCCAGAAGTGCTTTAGCCGTGATATAGATATATTACAGTATATATTAGCAATAATATAGATATGTAAGTATATTACAGAAATTATGGTCTATTATGGTATGTTATAAGGTACACGGTATGAAGTATGTTATGAATATTCTAGAACTATAAGTATGTACAGGCTATGAACAGGATATAAATATGAAAAACTAAACAGAAATCTGCGATATACAGCTATACAGAAATGTAAACTATGCAAGTTATAAACAGTTGTAGGATTAAAAATTATCATATGTACAGAATTATTATTTACAGAATTATACAGTAGTGCAGTTAAGATAAGTGAGATATGTGGATACATTCTACAGAGGCTATATAAAGTGCTAGTTCCTTCTAATACAGGAGATTTAATGTCACTGATCAGCTGGTGAACATTTAATTATGATTTAATGCTATTATTTATTCTTATAGTCTGCCATTTAGCCAGACTGATGTACACTATAGTGTTTACATATACAAATAAAGCAACGACTTAAATACAAAAACATCAGAATTAAAAACTTAAAATCTAAAGAAACAAAGCAATCAGCGTCACCAAAAGTTACCAAAAGTTACAGGTTTTTTGTTTTGTTTTGGCCTGACATAAACCGGTTTCGTACTAATTGCAGGTTACTGAAGGAGAAGCCCGCGTAGCTCTGCTGCAGAGAGAGGTGGAGATGCTGAGCCAGGCTCTGCTCAAATCTCAAGAAGGTGAAACTTTACTCAGAGAAAAAATCACTTCTCTCAACCAGACGATTCAGGAGGCGGCGGCCCTTCAGAGCAGCACGCAGGGTCGTATGGCTGCCCTGCAGAAGACGCTCAGCATGGCTGAACAGGACAGAAGGCTCCTGCAGGTGAGAGAGAGAGAGAAAACAAAGGGCTTCAAACAGCGTGGCTCAGATGTGAATGTTGACGTGAGAATTATTCTGTGCCGTTAAGGAACAAATGGATGCATCACGAGCGTCATTAGCTGAGGCGAGGAGAAACACGGCCACCCTCACTGAGCGCGTGCAGAGCCTGCAGACCGAGCTGACCGAGAGTGAGCTGCGGCGAGAAGAAGTAGAGTCTGAGCTGAAGAGCGCTCAGGAGGTTAGAGACAAACAGATTGCCAGAGACACTCGTCCACCTGCAGGGCTGCCGATCTGAAGCTGCGCCAGTAAAAGAGTAGATTCTGCACAATGCTGAACTCAGGCCGGTGTTCTTGATAGATTTCTGTCTTCCTCCGTCAGGCTCTGCGACAGCGCTCAGCCAGTCTTGCGGAGGCTCAGCGCAGCGCCCAGTCGGCTCAGACAGAGCGGGCCGCTGTGGAGGAGCGGCTACGTGCGCTGCAAAGAGCAGTTGCCATGCTGGAGACGGAGAAAAAAGATGCAGAGAGGCAGGCTGTGAGGCTGGAGAAAGACAAGAACGCACTGAGAAACACACTGGACAAGGTCAGCGCTGTGTCAACATGTGTTTGTTTCTTTGTTTGTTTTCTTTGTGACCTTCTGACATTAAAGATGTTTGATTTATATGGCAGTTAAGATTCAAAATGGCCTGCAGAGCCTTATAGCTACACCACACACGCTGATGCATTACTTTTAAATAAAATATCAAAACAGCCTGAGAGAAATAAAATGTTAAAAACGTCAGATAAGTACGAGCTCCTCTACAAAATTGCCTCCAAGCAAATTCTAATTGTATGATATAATTTACATAAATCATTATAAAAACATGAAAAGTTGATCTTTTAGTATTCTAATAAATGTTTACTATTTACTTCCCTTCATTTAAATTTAAATGTTTCCAGAAATTCTGAAAAAGATATGACATTTACACATATAAAGCGTTTCCTTTGTCTCTTAAACTATAGAACTGCACAAAAACACCGCTCACATACTGTGTTCACCATCTTGGATGAGTGTTTTAGTCACCACACCAGCTCGCGTCCCTGCTTTGAACGGCTTGCTTCGCTGTCGTTACATGTCCATGGTTACATTTTTCATCAGGTTGAACGTCAGAAGCTGAAGTCTGAGGAGGGCACGATGCGGCTGTCTGCAGAGAAGAGTCGCCTGGATCGCTCTCTAAACACAGCCGAGCAGGAGCTGCAGGAAGCGCAGCAGCAGATACTGATGCTCCAGGTAGGGAACGGCCGCTGATGGAGGCAAAAGACGACCAAACTGCTGCCGAATCCTGCTGAAAGATTTTGTTTATTTAGCTGTGGCTGGACACGTCTACTGGAAGTGAGGGTTTTGTGCAGAAAGAGCGGGCGAGAAGAAAACCAAGCAGATGTTTCACAGTGAGAAAATAAACCTGAGTTCTCAACTTTTTGACTTGAGCAATGAGCTTAAAAAGAGCTTAAAATTATTTTTTTTAACATGCAAGGTGACATAAATGTGTAATAATCTACATTTTTTCCGTGGATGTAAAAAAACAAGATTAGTTTTAATGTTATATTGTAAAGTTTAAGTCCATAAAGTGACATCTGAGTAATTTTCGATAAACGATTGGACCAAAGACATGAGATAGTTTTGGGAAAACTTCATTTTAATGATGCTAAAGTCTTAACTATGTTTTTCTATTTACCACATACATGCCAAAAACAAGCAAATAAATTAAGCTGCAGCGGGTTTTGGAGGAATTTTGAAACGCTCATTAAAGTTGTTTATCTCAGGTCGGTTTAACATTTCAGACTTCTCCTCTTTTCTCCTCATTCAAGCCAAACTTTTCCCAAGCTGCAGAAATGTGCTTTAACCCTCGCAGTAAATCCCAAAGCTTTAACGTTCGCTGCAGAGTTTTAAAGACTGTGAGGCTAACAGCCGTGTTTGGAGACTTTTTTTTTGTTGCGCATTCTTCGATTGCTGAAGTCTTAAAAAGAGGAAAACACTTTGTGTTGTGTGACCTGATTCCTGCTGGAGGTTTGTTTGCGTGAACCATCACTGATTTGGTGGAGGACTCCACCCAGGTGTCACTAGATACCAGATAATTTCATTTCTTTGAATTTACTTTATCAGGTTCACAGATCTGGAATCAGATTTGGACATGACTTTATTAGACTATTATTTATGTATTATGTACTATTATCTTTCATTAGGATGATTCACGTTTCTCGCATTTTGTCTTGCAAATGACACACAGCTTGTAGTTGACCTTGTTGGACAGCTGTTTTACATGTTCTTAGACAGACTCTAGTTCACTGCAGCGCGTCCAAACGATATGCTTTATTATCTTTTTTTTTTTTTT